AGTAATCAAAGCAAGATCAGTAAAATCCACAAATGAATCCTAATATAAAGATTTTTCTTATAAAACAATGTAATGAAAATTACAGCTTATAAAAGACACACCAGTCATTTTAAAATGTTCATTTTTCCATTTATCTCCTAGTCTCAACTTATTTCAAGATACTGGTTTAAACTGTGCTGCGCTGATACAAAACCTACATTCCTATTTACCCTTTGCAAATCATGGTTTTACTAAATTATTTCTACAATCTTTTAAAACCCTTCTTTCGGCATTTATGCTTGTTGATCTTTCTCACAGAAAGCCGGTTTAAAGGAAAAACTTTTTTTTAAATCCCCTTAAAACTTTGTTTTTTTTTAACTAACATTGATGTGATCTGAACGTTATTTAACTATTTTAATTAAACTGATGATAATTAAATAAGACATTATTCCTTATTACATATTTTAACTGCAGAGAACTGACAAAACTGAACTCAAATAAAACTTAAAAAATGTTTTTTGATACTCTCTTTGAACCGCTTAATGAAAAAAAATGTTTTACATGATCAGTGAGAATCCATTTCTCCTGATGCTAAATGTGTTTGATGCAATATTTTAAAATCTGAAATAAATCTTTAAAATAAAATTTGGCAGTGAGAGTAAAATAATAGACTTCCACCACAGCGTTTCCAAATATGTAAAAGGTATTTTAAGTAATTGTTTATCAATTAACATTAAGAGGATTAGTTAAAAATATGCTTAAACTTTACATAAACAGAAACAACAAAAAAACTATTTATCTTTTTTTAGGGATCTTACCTGGTATGACAGTAACAATAGTTCCATTGCCCCAGTAGTCTAAATCTCACAGTGCTACATCTTCACTGAGTCCTTGAACAAAAACCCAAAGCACCAGAATGAAAGGCATAAAACTAAATAAATGAATAAGAGAGATTTAACACTGGTAAAAATCTGGTAAGATGGATATTCTGGTGTAAAGACTCTAAATTAAAAAAATATGTAAATTTTCTGTAAACATTGAAATAGACTCAGATAGTTACTGCACTTAATGGATGAAAAAGTACTGATTGTTTAACTTTTCAAACATTCTGTGTATTATAAAGGTAAAAATAGGTACTTACCTCTTATTCAACGATATATGGATTTATTCTGTGTGTTTTTTCTATGAATTATTAAGGCATATATCCATGTTTTGCTCTGAGGTTTTTGTGTTGGTGTATATCTTTGTGCCCCCAAATATCACTGTGAGAAGATGTGATACAAAAACCTGCACCACTGGCAGAGGGGAGGAGGAAACAAATGGAAAGGAAAAAGTTATAACAGTGTGTTATAACAAATTTTGAATTGCCACAATATAAACATTTTTTTTTACACCTTTTTGAAACATAGTAGCTGAAAATGCTAGTTTGTAATCTATAAGGCAGAAAGTTAAAGAATATAAATATATACAATTAGTTTTGTTATTTTAAATAATCTATGCTGTCTTTTAAATTTGGACATCCTTAGAAGAAATCATTAACAGATCTAAATGATGTTCAGTTTAAAATATAATTTACATTCAATTATGATATGAATCATTTTGCTTCACAACTTTGTTAGGGGTTCACACAACAGGTAACTGCAGTTTTCTTTTGTTTTTGTTTTTCTTCTGTTAATCTGAATTTATGTTATTATAACTTGGTACTTTGACAAATGTAAGAACTCTACAAAAAGTTTTTCTATTTGTATGGGCATAATAGGCAAAAAGTCCACTGTTCAACATAAAAAATTCTAAAATATACGTCCAATCTGGAAGAGGTGAGGTGATGAGCTAAAATAAACCCAGAACTCAGTAGACAGGTACTGTAGAAATGTTGCAGATTGTATTTGAATTGTAGTTTTAGTTTAGTTTTTTAGTTTTTTTAGTTTAGTTTTAGTTTTTTATTTTTTTATTTTTACCAAATCTGTTGAAACAATTAAAATAAAATAAAATAATGCAACAGGGACATGAAGTGCCTCAAAGACAGTGCAGGTTCACTACTGAGGCTACAGTACTTGATACAGGTCTTTTGGGTTTGATTTTCAGTCCTGTGCCAATAAGTGCATTTTTTCACCTTCTCATTTGGCTTTACTTCCTGTCTGGACTTGAGAAAAAATGCTATGAATGCCAAAAAAACAATGAAAAATGCAAGAAATGTAGTCTCTGCAATTTATAAATATATTTTTTCTCTCTGCAGAAGATAAGCCTGATATTAACTGAGGATCATACATTATTGCTGGCATCTTGTAGGAGTGGGTTATATAAAAGTTATGTATAAAATCATGCTTAAAAATCTATTTTTGCATAACAGAAACTATTTAGTTAATAGCCACAGATCTAAGAATAGGGCATTTGTGAGTGTTTTAAACATTACTCATCTTAAAGAACTACTTTATTGACATTAAAAGTACCAAGGAGTTTATTTCATATTGTTTGAG